CCCGTCACACCAAACATGCTCGCCTTTTCAGCCGCGGGGATGTTATAATGTGACGGTCAATCCCACTATTCGTTGGTAAAAGAGTAACCCAAGAGTTGGCGGTGGGTGGTGATGACTAGCTGCCTTCCCTCTAGTTTTACAATGCTAAATTAGGGACGGCTAGCGCAGATAGTCCTCGTGTAGCTTTGCGCGAAATTCAAAAACAAACTAACTCAGTATGGTTTACTCCAGAATCTCTGGCAGTATCAATCACTTCCTCTCTGAGCTGTTACGTAACCCTTATTTCTTCGCAATACTCCATTGTTGAGTTTGTCTGTTGTTAAGCTGGGGTGTAGTGATGCCGGAACGCACCGGAGCATTGCTCCGGCACCTGAAATTGAAGCTGTGTCCCGACTCTTCAAAAATACAAATGTGTAAATAAAATATGAATTGCTCAGTTTGTTTGTTTGTTATTAAGTACAAAGCTACACATAGGACTATCTGTGCACTGCCCACCACGGGTATCGAAACCCGGTTTCTAGCAGTTTAAGTCCGCAGACATACCATTGTGCCACTAGGGAGGGGGGCAAATTGCTCAGTTTACAACCGAAATCAATGGTCTTTCATAACCAAACGCCCAGAATGTCAGAGAGAACTAGCTGTTTGTGATCCTCTGTGTTCACTGGTACAGCTCTCTCAGGTCGCCCAACTCACAGTCTTTCACTCTCCCCCAGGAGCTGGCGTCAGGCATCGTGCGACCGCTTCGTTTCAAGAGCGAGTGTTAGTGCGCTAAAATTGTAATTTTTTTGTCGTATGTCATGTAGTTACTAAGATACACGAATATGGTATTAAAACACTTTATAAAATACATTTACAATTATACCATGCACTTTAAAACGTTTATTATTTACATAATATACAAAGAAGCTCGCTTTTTAGTTAGGACAGGAAGTGTGAAAAGCATTATAAAATTCAAAGTTGTTAATGCTGTAAGTGCAGTTAGAAATATAGTAAATTATGAGATATGCCTTTTTAAAACGTGTTTTAATATTTTAGTCGATTTAATAAAGTACCCAATTGTTTTTGTTTTATTTAGAGGAAGTTGAGTTGCGTGTCTTCTTTCAATATATTCAATTTGGTACTAATGTGAGAGTCCCCCTGGTGGGATAACGGTAAGCTTATGGACTTACAACACTAGAATCCAGAGTTCGATTCCCAGCGGTGGACACAGCAGATGGACCAATGCGGCTTTGCTCTGAAAGAAACAACAGCTAATGTAAGAAGTGTCAAGTAATTAATGCTGGATATTTCTTAATTTAAAATGACACAAATATAAAAACTAGGTTTTCAATATGAGATCTTTACTCTACTGGTGTCGTCACAGGTATAACAAATTTTGGTGGAGCTCTGTAAAGTTTAGCACTACACCACTGTTGTAAAGCTACACAATGGGCTATCGGTGCTGTGCCAACCACGGGTATCGAAACCCACCAGTTTTTTTAGCATTATAAGCTTTCAGTTTTATCGCTGAGCCACGCCGGGAGATGAATGAAACAATATTTGTTGCCCAAAACACGCCTTCGGATAGAAATGTAAGGCTTAAAAATAATAAACTGATAATCTTCGTGGACTTTCGGACTCGTTTCTGTCATTATACTTCTTTCTAGTGTGACTGAAACCAGATTCGTTTACAACCCAGTCGTACTTTCAGAATCTAAGTATTTCGCTAAAATTAACTGGACTAAACGGCGATTTCAAGACTCTAACCTGGTTATTTCCGCTTGTTATCTCACGTTGAATACATTTTTTTTCAACTAATTATAATTGTAAAAGCTTCCCCTCCCTCCAGTGACTCAACGATAAGTCTTTAGGCTTATAAACGCTAAAAACAGCGTTTCGATGCCCGTGATGGGCACAGCACAGATAGCCCATTGTGTAGATTTGTTCTGAACAACAAACAAACAATAATTATGGGATGTTCTAAATAACAATGTTATTACTCCTCCTATATTTTAGTATAATTTTTTTGAATTTTATGTGCGTTGTTATTTTGCCACTTTGTCGCAGGGGTAACACTGAATGTATGTACACGGTGCTTGGCCCACCAATTATTTTTACTTTAAAACAATCGTTTTTAGGATTTCTTGTGATTAAAGGTGATTTTTCTAGATTTCGCGCTTACTCGCCAAATTTCAAACTGTACGTATAATTGTTCAGATATACAATTCTGACTTTATATTTTCTTCGGGGTTTCTACTTCCGTGTCATTCACGACAGATAGAGAGTGGCACAATCGTTAGCGTGCCAGACTACGAATCTTCAGGTCCAGTGTTGGCGTCCCGTTACTGTAAAAACTTTTTCAACCATCGATGCGTTATAAGAATCACAGTCATATCCCAAGAGTTATTGGTGGGTGCTGTTGACCAGCTGCCTTTTCTGTAGTCTATCAACTCAAAACTGAGGACGGTTAGCGTAGTTAGCTAACCCAGAAATGCAGGGTTTTTTTTTGTGGGCTATTTCGTGCAATTGACAGTTACCTGATGATTGGACTCACGAGCGGTCGAAACGTTGTAATAAAGTTAAACAAGTAAAAAATAAACAATGCACTCAAAAGCTGTATCTCTGGACTTTTAGTGTGTGACTATGATAATCATAATTTATCAGTTTACAGAAGTGTTAGTCACCTGTTCTGTAATATGACTTTTACAGATTGTGTTGAATTAGTTTTACAGTTTTCACACTAGGCTACAGAAGAACTATCTCAAGTTTTGAACTGCTTAAAGGAAAGGCAGTCAACAGCACACACCGCCATCTTTTGAACCATTCTTGCTCGATGAAATAGTAGCCTCTTCGGGGGAGGAGTGGGGGGTCAAGAGCTTGATTGATGGGTAAACTAGGTCTGACATTTAGTCGCAAACGTTAGCGTTGACATTTGAATTTTATTCTTATTAACAGCTCACGTATTTTGGTTTAATATTGGAAATTAAATAAAGAAATATATATATGACGTATTTATGCATGTACAGTTTTTGACCCCTTTGCTTGTGTTCAGTAATCACAAGTTTATAAATCTATAAACTAAGAAATACGCAAAGCGAATTAAAACTTAAAGAATTTGGTTCACGTTTTTTTTTCTTTGTTCCAAATCGGCTTTTCCATAATTTGAATTTTATAGATTGTGTTGGACTTATTCGTTAGTAATCAAATTTTGGCCCAACGCTACACAAAGGCTTATCTGCACATAGCCCGTCTTTAATTTTGTTGAACTGATCGACTAGCGAGAGGGTAGCTAATTATATTTATATGTGTGTGTGTGTGTGTGTGTGTGGAAAATAACAGATAAAACAAGATAATTAAACCAAGCAACTAAAACATATGAGAACAAATGAAGTCATCACAGAACCTGTACTTTGTTTTATTATATATATATATGTATTCTGTTTTGTTTGAAATTTCAAGATCTTAATTGTATTTAAGATTTATTTTGAGTGTTTTCTTTAAGGTTTATTAAAGTAACGAAAGTCATGCGTCTTCAGCATTTTTTAATACAAATATTCGAAAGAAAGATGCCATTTATTTGCTCCTATATTTATTGTCCAGAACTTGGCGTTTTCTGGCTGGCCCTTGGTTATTTACAGGCTATAACAGGAAGTTTCTTTTCGCAGACGACGCTCTACATAGTTTACCCAACAAACACCTCCTCCTACACCAAACTACGTGGTTGGCAGGCGGAAACGGAAGTAAACTTGATTTGATCTACAGAGGGCAAGCAGTTGAGAACCTAATTACCGAGCAGGACGTTGCTGATCGTTCTTTAATTAATGAGCTGTATCCTTCCGCTCAAGTACTGAGTCCGGCGTGTACGATGATCTCCAGAAAGATGGAACGCGAAGTGAGTGGGCAAGAATCCTGCACTTGGCTGCTGAGATGGTATTGGGAATGTTATGTCAACCGTTTGAAGAGTTAGTAAAATTCATGGTGGACTTTAACCATAATTCGTATGGTTTAGAGGAAC